ATCCTATATAATAAAAGGGTAATATGCAAATCGACCAAACGCTAGAATGACTGGTCGCTATGATGTGCACTAACCACCAGGGGGCAGATGCTCAATGCAGGAGCTGCCCCCTGGTGGTCAGTGCGCTCCTACAGAGGGAGTGCCTCTCAGCCAGAAAACCTGAGCCAGGCTCATTGCTGGTGAGTACAGTGGGCATGGCAGGAGCCTGCCACAGGGAGCGGTCCTAAGCCATCAGTCAGACATCCTCCGAGGGCTTCTGGACTGCGAGAGGGCACGAATGTCGTGCACCAGGCCTAGTGATGTTAATAAAAGTTGTTACTCTCTCCCTGCATTCCTTTTTTCAAAGAAAATAGGATCTAAGAGATGGAAAATGTTAAATAAAAATATCACCAGAGGGCGCTATAGTAGCATTTAGAAAACAATGACAGTCTAAGCCTGTCAAACTCAAAGGCTAACACAGGCCAAATAAACAAGGTTTGAGTTTATGTGGGCTGCAAAAAAACAAAAGCTTCAATTTTCATAGGAACATAGGTTTATTTCAATAGAGACATGCTGAATACAAAGGGCTGAAATAAATGAGTAATCGTTAACATAAAATAATAGAATATTTTAATAAAAATTAATATTTTTTCTTGAACATTAACTTACCAGACACTGAATAACTGCACAAATTAATAAGCTTAACACAAATAAACCTATTTTTCTTGTTCTCCAAAAGTGAAATATTTCCTGTTGCGCAAACAAGTACCAAACAAGTCAGTACAAGACTAAAGACGTGGCAATCGGCTGCTAAAATATTCGCTGCTAGTATTAGTGGAGAGAAATGGTGCGCCTGCGCATAAGGCATGTCAGGGAAATGAATGCAACATGATTATAGTAATCAGTCATTAGCGAATGTTATAGTTTGCTATTAATAATTATATATAACAGGATATTGTAAAAATTAAGTGACAAAATTTTTATTAAAATGTTTCTGACATACCGTTATATTGGCTAGATCACAAAATTATTCGTTGTGGGCCACATGCAGCCTGTGGGCCCCAAGTTTGATATGCTTGGTCTAAGATGTTTGAAGAGACAGTTAATATATCTTATAGCTGCATATGTTTTCTTCTTAGAAGAATATATTGTGATTGTATTGTCTTCTAAAGTCAAGTATTGTCCACCCTAGTAACTGGCATTCTTAAAGAAGTGTAATGATGTCAGACCAAATAAAGAATAAAAAAAAGAAAGACCTACATATTTTGTTAGAGAAACCAACCCTTTAAAGTAACTTATTGTTTTCCCCCTTGGGAGGGGTCAAGTCTCATTCCAGTTCTGTGAACACACCATGTGTTAAAAGCTCCTTAAAGATACTCAGAGCCAAAGGAGATCAGGGAGGGAAAACAGCTTTGTAGCTGCCAGGATCTGAAAAGGAGGTGGGTCTTAAGGTGGACTGGGGAGGATGGAGGAAGCAGTAAAGCTCTTTAAGAACAGAGAACAATTGAAAAGCAGCGATGTCCTATAGGACTGTCAAATGGCCTGCATACCAGCAGCACACAAACAAATGGAGCTTCAGGTAAAATGCT